GTTTGTGCCCGAAAGACAAACAACATTCTGTTCTTTGAGGTTCACTGTTCTTTATTATGTATATATCCTAATCAAGGCTTCTGTTCAATGTTCTGATAAACATAGATAACAAACAAAAATAGAGATAGAGATAATGAAACTGCATAGATTTTTATTTCTCAGGCATATGTATGTTGGAAAAATATAGAAAAAAGCATGATGCCCAATAGAAATATAATAATTTACATATAATAATTTATATATATAATGTATATATAAATGAGGCAGGAATCTCTCATTCTCACAATAGAAAAAGACATTTTATAAATAAGAAATAGGCAGCAGAAACCTTCAAGTAAAAAAAAAATGACTGGAAGAAGAAGGAAGGAAGGAGGGAAGGAAGGAAGGAAGGAAGGAAGGAAGGAAGGAAGGAAGGAAGGAAGGAAGGAAGGAAGGAAGGAAGGAAGGAAGGATGGATTGACAAAATACTGTTGACAAAATACTTGACAAATACAAATTTAAAAGGTGAGAGGAAAAGGTGCAGGATTTAATTTTTTCATCTGACAAATATAGTGTGCAATATTTTAGGGTCCTGTTATATGGAAAACTTCATATCTATGCCTTCTTAACTCTTGCAGCAAATCTACTTCTTTAAACTTCTTATGTCTAGTTGAGGATGTGGAGTAGATGAAGAATTTAATCTTCATAACTGCCTTGCAGTGCTGATGCTACACATGTCTCCTGGTCTCATAAACAGCTGCTGGTATCTGTAGTAAATCTATGTGGGTTATCTTGAAGTTATACATTTAATCCAACTGTCATGTATAGATAAGCAGAATCATCCGCAGGAGAGAAGTGAGAGGAAAGTTATGGAAACTTTGCAGCTAGAATTTCTACAACTGGATTTCCAGTTGATAAAGTGAGAAAATGAAATTATGCCATATGATGTGAATTTGCACTGCAATTATCTTCTGGTTTAATAGCCTTAATTTTGTTAAGACTGTGTTAGAAAGATTAATACAGGTTGAAGATATGATTGTACTTTGGAACAATATACCCACCCAAAATATTAAATTTAATGCTATATGTAGAAGCATAAAAGCAGCAAAAGGTTATTCTCTGATGTTGTAAAGATAGCGAGAGCTTTACAATATGTGTTTATTTTCTGTTTATGAACTGGCTCATTATTGGTATAATGAAAAGATTAATCAATACCATTCCGTGCAATCAGTTTTAATGATATGTTTAAAAATGAGCTATTTCTTTTCAGTGTGTAATAGAATAAGCTTTTGATTTCTGGTTTTTTTTTTCTGTTTTCCTTTTTTTCCCTCCCTCTTTATTCACCCAAGCAATAAAATACATTACAAATAGGTAATCCTAAAATCCTGTACAAACTGACATTGTTTCAGAGACTTTACTGAGTCCAAGTCACACCTTGAAAACTTGTACTTGTTAAACCCACTTGAACAAAGCTGGCTTTAAGCAGGTCTGGCCTCTTAAACTTCTGCTTAAATTGCCTTTCATTCTAGCCAAGCAATCTTACATCCTGTAATCTTCTGATATCCTCATCAACTTTAGTTGCAACATACTCTTTGGTCCCCCTTCTCATCTAAGGAATGTCTTTGAGCCCTACCATGACAAAATGTACATAGGATAAAATCTTCTAGAAGATGCTATAACATCTGGCTTAGTACTAAGATTCTTGATGGTTCAGTTGGTAAAAAAACACACACCTTATTTTTATCCCAAAATTATAGCTTCCAGCTTTCATACAGCATAACACAACAGGAACTCTTAGAAGTTTGGCAATTTTCATGCTTTGTACTGCCTGCAGTAAAAAGAAAAAAGAAAAAGAAAGAAAGAAAGAAAAAGAAAGCAACAGAAAGTAAGCCAGCATTTATATACTTTACTTTATTCAAAGGAGATAACTGATGGATAAAGTATGAGTTGCCCTTTAGGACACAAAATAAGTTATTAGAGGAACAAGGTGATATCATGGATATGACTCCACTGCCAATGTGTAGTTAATTCATATAATAAATATTAATTTAACATATTGAAAAAAATGTTCCAAAAGATCACAAGATAAACGATAAACATGCAGGCAAGGTTCCAGTTTGTGATTGCACTAAGCATTAGGGAAAACACTATTACCATGAAATCCTCCTCACTCTTAAATCAACTTAATAAATCTTAACAGTACTGGTTAAATGTTTTGATTGCATTCTAAGATAGCAACAGCACTTATATACTGCTTCACGGTGCTTTACAGCCCACTCTAAGCAGTTTACAGAGTCAGCATATTGCCCCCAACAATCTGGGTCTTCATTTTACTGACCTTGGAAGGATGGAAGGCTGAGTCAACCTTGAGCCTGATGAGATTTGAACTGCAGACAAATTGCAGACAGCAGAAGTAGCCATTCTAATCACTGTGCCAACCAGGGCTTTTAAGATACTAGAAGGATTCACGCAGCCTAATATTCATGCAAAGTGGAGAAGTTTCACTTGGAAGTTTCAATTGTCTGGTTTTGCATTGGACAGCAAGTGTAGAGTTAAAACAACTGTGAATATAACAGAACTTCTGAGTTGCAATAAACATTAGTCTCAGAAGAATATTGGAATAAAAGCAGACTGTTTTTTATACTTACCAGTGTTTCAGATCTAATTTAAAAATCTAATAAACTAATCCACCCTTCTCTAAACCAGGAAAATTTGTGGGATCCCGATGTTTTTCATTCATGGAAAGTTCACCCATTCATAAAGTGGTTCGTGATGTTGTACAATTCCAATTTTTAACAAAATACACTAGGAAATGTTTGCTTCCTTTGACATAGCATTGTCAAATGCGTTGAAAGATATCAACAGTGGTAGTGGCTGCCATTTTTCAAAGTAGTTTGTACATAAAAATGGTAGGCTTTAGATTTTGCAGTCATGTCAATATCTTGATTTTGTGGACCCCAGTGGACAACTAAAAGAAGTTAGTAATGATTTGGTAATATATCAGACTGTTGGCTTTCATAGGTAGGACAGAAACAAATGAGAATTAGTGAACAATAAAATTTGAAGGTGACGACCAAAGTGTAATAACCAAACTATTATGATATTTCAGATGTATCTCATTGTGTCTATAAAAATGTTAGATATGTAGAAATGTTGATAGGCTATTCTGTCTTTGAGTGTGGAAACTCTTAAAGAATTCTGAGTCTGATTAGGTAAGTGCTGCAAAAAAGGGAACTTTTTTGTATTTGAATCTGCTGCCCAGCCCTAATATTTATCACTCCATTAGATTCAGAATTATTTGAGAGTTTTCACGTTCGGAAAAAAATGGCCAGAGAACAACAGAAAAAAGTTCTGAAGAGAAAAGAGATTTGGATTAGCTTAAGGAAATCAAAGAAAAAAATACAATGTTATCTTGGGATAACATTGTAGACATAACATTGTAGACATAATGAGGTACATCCAGAATATCATGATCGTTTGGTTACTACACTTTTGATGTCACCCCCCAAACTTATTGTTCACTAATTCTCATTCATTTCTGTCCTACCTGTGAAAGCCAACCGTTTGATATATTATCAGGCCGAAACATTATTAACTTATTTTATTTAATATGCCTTTCAATTGACTTTTTTGCATAAAGACTTTTTTATCAGCAATCAGATCATACACCAAAGGTTCATTCTTGGCAGTAAAAGCCCTTTTATAGCATTACCTATATCAGACTGTATTTCCTACTGGAATCTCAGAAGCCCTTCTTTATGAGTTAAATTTCATGCAGAATGAAGTAAAATATAACATTAGGTCTAGATTCTTACTGATTCATTGCAAAGCTAACACTAATGTTTAGAATTATCAGAGTTAAATCACAGCTGTAACTCAATTCAATTAAAATAAAACCTCTTTCTCGGTATCAGAGAATAATATACATTATAAGAATGCTATGTGAGAAAAACAATATCACAGCAAAAATATGGTATTCGTTGAATTTAAGGAGTAAATTAGAAAACTAGTTTGCTGTAGTTTTAGTGTTTAAAAGTACTAAAAGAAAAGCTGGAAAATGAAATTCTAACCCTGCCTTAGATATGGAAGCCAACTGAATGACCTTGGACTGGTCATTCTAGCTCAGTCCTAGGGGGTAGGGAAATCAATGGCTAACCACTTTTGAAATTGTTGTCAAGATAACTTGCCTAGGTGGCTGCCAAGAGGGAAAACAGAGTTGAATGTCTGATGTAATTATTACCTTTTTTCCAAGAGTTTAGAGGTTCCAATAACCTATAATAAATTCTCAATGGTCTACAATCACATGGGGGGGGGATGCTATAAAAAAAACTACCATTGCATAAATTGTTCATTAATTATGAATGAACTGAGCTATCTTTTCTTCACTTCTTCATACCTCAATTAATTTGCAAAAGTTCAAATGATATTAAGGTGCCTGAATATGATGCCGAATACCAAGTTTAGAAATGATGATGCCATTCCCCCTCTACCCACCAATTCCAGCAATCAGGGAGGGAACAAGCCGTACTTTATCTTCTCTTAGTGCTGACTGAATTTGACACTTATGTATATTTCACTTCCATTTCTCCCTTCCCGTCTTGTTTCTTTTTGGGTCACCTGCCAATAATTTTATGTGCCTTAAATCAAGAATAAGCAGGAGGTTGTAAGCTGCCAGTAAGGCCATCTGTGATGAAGTCAAGCCCACAAAATGTGCAGAATATATTTTTGCTTGAATTATCAATGGAAATGGGCACTCCAAGGGACAATGGTCTTATCTATCTGAAATGTGTGAATGCATAGCACTGTTCAGAAAAATGTAGCCCATTTCTCTCCCTCTCTCTCTATTCTTTTCTAAAACCAGGCATTCCCCAACTTCTGCAGGAAGGGAATGTTTCTGTGGCATATAAATCTCTGTATTAATTAAACATAAATCAAGGAATGCTGAGCTCATAAACAGCTACAAATATGTTTTTTTTAAAATAATAAGATCCCTAAATGTTCACTTTCTGGTCCAATATTACCTGTGCATTAATGAAATGGAATAGCTGAGATATATCTGTTAAATAGAAAAAATGTACCATGTGCTTATTGCCATGCATAAAGACATGAAGAAAAATTCATTCAACCATTATTTGCAATAATGAAAAATAAATAACTCAAGAGGACAAGATATGGACATGTTTTTTTCAGTTGTTTAGATATATTGATTTCAAATGACATTGTTCTTTTAGAGTTTCACTCTACTCATTAATGATTTTTGTCAGCAATATTGAAACAGCTGGAAGAAATTAAAGATCATTGGTACTGCCTGGCTTTTTGGGTTATAACAAATTAAGAGAAATTCAATTCAATATATTTGGAAAAGATATCTACTGTTTATCTTACAGTATTCAAACATATAAACCCATTCTTAATTGCCCATCTTTAAATTTATTTATTTCTGTTGTTGTTAAATTTATATCCCACCTTCCCTCCAGGAACTGAGCTCAACTTACAATACAGGGCTTTGCCTTCCTTATATTTTTTCTTTCTTTCTTCTTACAATAATCCAGTAGGTTAGGGTGGAGCAAACTAAGGTAGGGTAGGGTAGGGTAGGGTAGGGTAGGGTAGGGTAGGGTAGGG